TGAGTGAGTGTGTGTGTGAGTCTGTGTCTGTGTGTGTGTGTGTGTGTGTGTGAGTTTGTGTGAATGAGTGAGTGTGTGTGTGAGTCTGTGTCTGTCTGTCTTTGTGTGTCTGTCTGTCTGTCTGTGTGTGTGTGCTGATTCCAGCAGACTCTGAGGTGTGTGTCACTCTTTCAGATGCTGAACTCCTTGCGCTCATTGAGGAGCAGCGCTGTTAAGAAACGGGCCAAAGTCAGCGAGAGCAGCTCTGAGCCGGATCCAGACAGTCCAGACTCAGCGGTGAAGCTGGAGCTGGTTCCTGATTCTCCGGAGCAGACGTCTCCATCCGTCACCAGCCCTCTGAGCGAGAGCGGCCTGAGCAGCCTGTACTCGCCCCCGTTGCCCAACGGCACCAAGAGCAGGTCAGTCGCTCCGTCTCCGGTGTAAACCAGTCCAGATCATTCACTCAAACCTAGAGGTTGGCTATATACCAATAGACATGATAAACTGACAGAGATTTTGGATTATTGTCTCTATCATGCATACGTGACGTTGTAGTGCTGTGCCCTCACTAACATTTGCAAGTGTTTTTAAGCCTTACTGGATTAAACATTCAAGCGATTTTAAACAGTTAGCCATGAAAGAGAATTCAGTTTGGTTCTCGAGCCGGTTTCACAGCTGAAGCACGAGCCCATAAAGCTGCTTGTCACTAAAAGCTTTTGCATGTCAGAGTGGCTCCGTTCACAGTAAATGCTGAACTCTTATCATTTACATGTGTGGAACATCTCAAACTCCATCTCTGCATATTGCTGTGAGTTTGGGTTTATTATAACGTTCATCTGGGAACGGAGCATGCACCATTTCATTTGTAAGGTAAATCATTTATAAACGTCTGCAAAACCCAGGAGAATACATCAATATCTTTCTCAATATGCTAACTGACTCCGTGTTTAGGGTTGGGAATCGAAAATCGATTTCAATTCCAGAATCGGATACTTAATGTCAGGAATCGGATACTTGTTGTAAAATAAAGCAATAAGCCCCAAGAAGCCGTGGTTTACAGTAAATTTAAACCCTAAAACCCCCTTAGCTGTTATAAATTCACTGTAAACCACGGCAATCGGATACTTAAGGTCAGGAATCGGATACTTGTTGTCAAATTAAAATTTCGATTACGCCTATCAATTCCTATGCGCTTTTTTTTTTCTTCATCTGTGAGGATCGGACCTAGCGATCTGCCTGGGCCTTGCTCGCTAATCTAAGCGCTCCAAAGTTTGGCTACACTTGCGATCAGAAGCCGAGAAAAAGCTATGTATAATATTTGTGATAAGCTTAACATGTTGCAAGAGAGGTACCACCACCAACATGACAAAGCACTTTAATTTAACAGATCGTTAAAGATCACGAACACGATTCAAACACCAACGTGATTCTATTCCTAAATTACAATGAAACAAGTACATCTTGAGTCATTGAACTAAGGGGCGTTGTTAGGCACGACACGAAGCCACAGCTTCTTGGGGCTTATTGCTTTTATAAAATGGTTATTCCATATACGTGGTAAGGTTTCACAAAATTAAACCGAGCAAATAAAGTGTAATGATAATAAAAACAGTATTCTTCCACCAAACAATGTAGCTCCTCAGAAACAGTTGTGGTTGCAACAAAGTGGTTGCCAAGCAACACACAAACGTAAACAAAGGTGTATGTTACTTTGTAGAGCTTCGAACAGCTTCGAACGTGGCTCAGCTAATCAGAATCAAGGACCGGAACTATCCGTTTTATAATTAAAATTTCGATTCCACCTATCGATTCCTGTGTTTTTTTTCATCTGTGAGGACTGGACCTAGCGATTTGCCAGGACCTTGCTTGCTAATTTTTTTAATTGATCACATTGGAATCGAAACTGGGAATCGAAAAGAATCGGAATCGATAAGCAGAATTGGAATCGGAGTTGATCAAATTCAAACGATACCCAACCCTACCGTGTTCAAGTTTGTGTGTGTGTGTGCTAACAGACGCTGTACAGTAGTTTTAATTCTCATTTCTGGTTTATTTCATGACTCTAGCCCTGTGAACTCTGCTGTGAAACCACGAGTGCCATCAGGAAGACACGTCACAGCAGACGTCAGCGCTCGAGGTGTGTATGTGAAGCACACGAGCACAGCTGCATGCGTGCTGTCAAACGGTGTGAGTTACGTGTCCTCTGTGTGTTTTGTGTTACAGGTGTGACGCAGCAGGAGAAGAGTCTGTCTGATGGGAATGTGAGTGTGATCGGTCAGAGACTCGTTTACTCAAACAGATTGTTAGATCCAGACGAGGAGAAGCCCAGCGACATGACATCATCATCACCGCAGATCAGAGCCGCCGGCCGCGAGCCGCTCCGCGCTCTCAGACCCGCTAAAGGTGAGCCGAACTCAAGCCGAGCCGAGTCGTACCACGCAGTGGAAAAGCGCCATAAGTGAAAGGGTCTCTATGTTCTGAGAATAAACTGACCTTACTGTATTTACGTTTAGCATTAGCCAGCACTTTTAAATTTGCCAAGATGTCAGGCGCTCTGGCTCCCGGTAAACATTGGACTATATTGGCTGGTGTCTCTATTTTCACGTTCCGTACAATAGAATCGCCTATAACTAGAGCACTTTGATCAGGTTTCTCAGCGGGTGCGTCACTGAGTGGGGAGAACCTGTTTAATGTTTTGATCGGAACGGAAGAGCGGTGTGTTGACCCGCGACTATGCCGCCTCACAGTCACCCTGCTGCAGAGGCTCTGTAACCAGAACCGAACAATGTACAGGACTCCCTGAGCTAGTTGCATCCAAAGCTGTATCTACAGCCCTCACATTCTTACTGTCCTCAATTAAAGTTTGGATGCGTGTCTCTAATTCTGAAATCTTCTCTGTCAGCCTAACTATTTCCCTGCATTTATCACATGAGAATCCCTCGCTGCTGACAGAGAGAGCTAAACTATACATGTGGCAAGCGGTGCAAACAACAATAGCAGGAGAAGAAGCCATTACTCACCGTGATTGCGGAATGATTCCGACTTACCACTGTTGTTTGATGAACTCGTGAAAAACGGCGCGAGAGAGAAAAGAAACGGAGCGAGAGAAAATATAAAACGGTAATAGAAGGGAAGATTCCAGATTGGGCCATCTGAGCTTTCATTTTCTCAAAGGCAAAGCAGGATACCCAGGGCTCGGTTTACACCTATCGCCATTTCTAGCCACTGGGGGACCATAGGCAGGCTAGGGGAACTCATATTAATGTTAAAAAACCTCATAAAGTGAAATTTTCATGCCATGGGACCCTTAAAATTAAAAGCGAACGATCAAATCAGATTAGTTTAAAAGATAATATCGGATATATGGTGGGAATTAAGTTACATTTGATCACTTTAAACAACAGAGAGTGATAGTAAGATAGAGATTCAACAGAAAAGCGAAGCTACATGGAGCTACAATCACAAACCACTCAGCAGCACAAGTAACAGGTATGACCACAAGCTTGAGAATACTGTTGCTCAGTGCTCCAAAGTCCTCTTTTCAGATGAAAGTAAATTTTGCATTTGGAAATCAAGGTCTGGAGTCTGAAGGAAGACTGGAGAGGCACAGAATCCGAGCTGCTTGAAGTCCAGTGTGAAGTTTCTGAAGTCAGAGATTATTTGGGAGCCGTGACGTCTGCTGGTGTTGGTCCACTGTGTTTTATCAAGTCCAAAGTCAATGCAGCCGTCTACCAGGAGGTTTTGGAGCACTTTATGCTTTCATCTGCAGACAAGCTTTATGGAGATGCTGATTTTTTTTTTCCAGCTGGACTGGGATATTTTCAAGAGAAAGATGAGAAGAAAACAAAAAAACTTTTGAAATGTTTTACTTTAAATGTAATGAATCTAGAATATATGAAAGTTTCACTTTTTGAAATGTTACAAAAAAAGAATATTTTTCACGATATTCAAATTTTTTGAGATGCACCTGTATATATAAAAATAAAGTATTTGTTGTTAAATTTTACTTATCCCAGATTTTTTGAATGGTTGTGTATCACGGTTCGATTACATTTAACTATATACTGTATTTACATAGAAAGCAGCAATTTTACTTTGTAATAATATTTCACGGTTTCTACTGCATTTTTGATCAAATAAATGCATCTTGATGAGCAGAAGAGACTTCTTTCACAAACATTTAAATCTTAATTATTCCAGTCTTTTATCAGTAGTGTATAAATTGTTTTGAGGATGTCTGAGAGTCCCGTTGAGTAGTTTTTGAAGTAATAATGTCACGTGTTTCTCTCAGGATCTCAGCAGCGTGTGTCGTGCAGTCGTGACATGTCGGAGGGCGTGATCGGACGAGGTCAGTTCACCGCTGTTTTACTGTCAGCTGATCTAAAGCACAGCCGCTCTCATCCTCGCTCGTCTTCTTCCCTCATGTCTGCAGGAGTGTTCGGTTCGGTTGTTCTGCCCAGTCGTCTCAGTGTGGCGTCTTCTCCCGAGCAGTGCGACTCGGCCGGTAAAAGCGCCTTCACCAGCGCACTCGTCGAGTCTGACGCCAGTCCTGAACCGGAGGAGCTGCCGGTCACTCAGGTGCGTCTCAAACAGGCTGACGGTGTTAAAGGGGTCATGACATGGATTCTTTTATTATTTTAATTAGGGCTGGGCGATTTGGCAAAAAATTAAAATCTCGATTTTTCCAGAACGTTTCTCGTTTTTTTTACGATTTTTAACTAGTCAACTTGAAAATGTAACCACAACATGATTCAAGTAACTTGTTCTTTATTAACCCTCTAGTTAAAGAAAATTCTATTCCAAGTGCAGCACACATGATATAAATGTTAAACAAATCACTTGTTAAATATCTTTGCAGAAAAAATGCATGACCTACAACTACATCCGGTACAAACTTGTCTTATACATATTATGTGTTCAGAAATAATACGAGGAAAATGCTTTTAAAAAATCTCTAAAGTCAAGGTAATTCAAATTCAAAATGACTGAAGGTATAACACCAGTAGACTATTAATAACTATAAATGTTCTGTAAAAACAACAGCAGCTTTCAGTCAAGTCACCATGATGCAAACTAGAAATATCAGACATACAGTAGTAGTTCTTTACAGGTTTTTTTTTATTCGATTGCGCTGCTTTTCCATTGTTTTTTCTGTGTAAACATGGTTGCGCTCGTGTCTCTTGCAGCATCTCATGCATGAAACGGCATTCTAAAAACACGGCGCTCAAGTTAAAAGAAGCTCACTCCCATCTTCTTGCATGTGTTTCCTATTCCACTGTCCACGTCGCATCTTTGTCAACACAAAAGCACATTCTGTGTGAATGGTGCTTAGCGCTATGTTTATGGTCCTTCACAGAGCGGTTAATCACATGTGCCGACATGCGGTTGGATCGTTCTTTTCTCTTTACTGTTATCACCGGCATATTGTCAAAGTGTCTAATTCTAACATTTGGTAATGTTTCTATTCAAAATCGCGATTCCTCGATTTCTAAAAAAAAATTAAACCGTGGCAAAACATTAAATTCGAATTAATCAATAAAATTGGGAAAATCGTCCAGCCCTAATTTTAATATGTTCCTTGAGGTTTACATATAATGTTAAAGGGCACCTATTATGCAAAATCCACTTTTACATGCTGTTTGGACATAAATGTGTGTTTGTTGAACACAACCACCCTACAATGATAAAAATCCACCCATTCCTCATTTTTTAATCCCCTCTAAACCAAATCAGTCTCACTAGGCCTGCCGTTTTGATTCTCTATGCAATGTGACATCACGTTGCATAGGCCCCGCCCACAGCCGCTGACTGACAGCCCTGCATCTTTCAACACATGTTTCTTTGTGACTCTCCATGACACTGTGCCTCGATTACAAAACAAAATCCTCCGGCACGATCCGGGACGCCATTAAAATAAACTGTCCACTTGTTCCTTACTCTGGGCTCCTTCTGATATCTGTACAAAGACTGCATTTCACTGCATTTGTCCTGACGACAGACTCGAGCGCTGGACTGTGTCAGAAAGAGAATCGCATCTGTTTACTGTATCCAGTGTAGACAAGATAGCGCATTGATTGTAGTTTCTATTTGCTTTTGACGAGACGCTCGCATTCAGCTGATCAAGCCGTTAGCGACTGAACGCCAGTGGGCGGGGCCTATGCCGACGTGTCGCTCTGGAGGCGGAGTTTATGCAAATGTTTGTGCCCTGTGACGTCACCTTGCACCTCAGATCCAAACGAGCTGCTTCTGGAGCTTGATTAAATAAATGCTTTGTTTATAATGCGGAGGACATTTTAAGCTATGAAACTTGCAGGATGTATTAAGCATACAAAGACCTCTTCTGTGTCAAAAGATCAAGGGAAATTTGGTTTCTCATGTCTTGACCCCTTTAAATCGAGCCTCCGCTGTGATCCTGAGTCACGTGATCTGTGTGCGTTACAGGAGAGAGTCAGACTCTCCGAGTTTGCGAGCGACAAGATGCATCAGCAGGACACGCCCCCCGCTCAGGACCCAATGAGACGCCGCGTGCTCATCAACGATGTGAAAGGTGAGAGGTCAACAGCAGTGACGGCCATCGCTCATCTGTCGTCTCTGTGCTCACCGTTTATGGTTTGTTTCCAGACGTGAGTCTGAACGGATGCGAGTCGCTCTCTGATGAATCTCCCTCCTGCCCGACTGGATCGCAGAATCCAGTGAAATATCTAAGCCCCGCCCATCAGCCCGCCCCCCCGACCAGCCTGCCCAATAGGAACGCAGCGCCACGACTGAGACGAGTGTCTAGTCTGAACCGGATCAGACCGCCTGCATCACACAGCTCCGGTGAGAGAGAAAATATACACGTCACACTGTATGTGCAGCGAGCAATAAAATCACACAAACACTTACTCAAATCTACTTCAGACTTTACATCACTGTTCAAAAGTTTGGGGTCAGTAAGATTTAAAAAAAATTAATTACTGTATTTATTCAGCAAGAATGCATTAAATGAATGAAAAGTGACAGTAAAGGCATTTATAATGTTAGAAAAGATTTCTATTTCAAATAAATGCTGTTCTTTTGAACTTTCTATTCATCTGTGAATCCTGAAAAATAAAATGTATGACAGTTTCCACAAAAATATTGTGCAGCACAACTGTTTCCAACATTGATAATAATCAGAAATGTTTCTTGAGCAGCAAATCAGCATATTATACTGATTTCTGAAGATCATGTGACACTGAAGACTGGAGTAATGATGCTGAAAATACAGCTGCGCATCCCAGAAATAAATTACAGTTTAACAGATATTCACAGCTATTTTAACTTATAATAATATTGCACAATTTTCACTGCATTTTTGATCAAATAAATGCAGCCTTAGTGA